TCGACTCGATCGGCATGGCGCTCGACATCTGGAACGAGCTCACGGTCGAGCGGGCGGAGACGTTTTCGTTCACGAACGAAGGCGAGGGCGCAGACGTGCTTCCGACCGACGAGACCAACCTCGTCGTCGTCGGCCTCAAGGCTGCGTTCGAGGCCGCGGGCCAGCCGATGCCGACGCTGCGCATCCACTGCCGCAACCGCATTCCCTTCGCGCGCGGCCTCGGGAGCAGCTCGGCGGGTATCGTCGCTGGTATCATTGCGGGTCTCGTCATCGCCGGCCACGAGCTCTCCGTGCACGGCAAGGAAGAGCTACTGCAGATCGTACGACGACGCATTGCCTTCGTGTCGTCTCTCATGCGAATCGAATTAGGCGGCTGGCATTGAAGGCCATCCCGACAACGTCGCGCCTTGCATCTACGGCGGCCTCCAGCTCGTACGCGACCAGCATGTCCACACAAATTCCTCACGATCCATCATATCTGTAGGGTATCTTTACCGACGACCGGTGGTACTCGTCGCGTGTCCAGATCCCAGATGGGATGCAGTGCGTCCTCTTCATCCCCGAGACGACGGGCAAGACGAGTGCTGCGCGAGCGATCCTGCCGGAAAAGGTGCATCTTGCTTGCTTTCTCCTCGCGCAGGCTGCTCATTCACGACATGGCAGATTGACCGGAGCGACGCCGTGTACAACATTGGACGCGCTGCGATCCTCGTGAACGCTTTCCAGTCGGGGAACCTTCCCGAGCTGCGCCACGCGGTCCAGGATCGCTTGCACCAGCCCCAGCGTGGCGCCGCCCAGTACCGCCACCTCTTCCCGCTGATTGACGCGGCGCTTGAAGCCGGCGCACATGGCTGCTTCCTCAGCGGCGCGGGTCCGAGCGTCCTCGCCATCACGTCCGGCCTCTCGGGCGACATCTTTACGCAGGTCGCACGAGAGCGTGCCGAGACCAAGGTCGCCGACGCCATGCGCGACGCGGCTGCCCAGGTCGGCGTCAAGGGCTGCGTCTTCATCACCAACCCCGAGCACCGCGGTGCGCACATCGTCAAGGTCCACCCCAAGATCTCGGACCGCATGGTCGCGCGCTACGAAGGCGACATCACCGACTTGTAAGAAGACGACGTCTCGTGTACTCTACTAATAAAGCATCGTGCGGCGCTGCCATCATGCACGCTCTTCTTCGCCTATGGACAGACATGCTCGCTCGGTACTTGGAGTCGCCTGCTTGGTAGACGCCTCTGGCCGTGGCCATTGCGGTGCCATGGCCAGCAGGTCATGGCCCATCGCATCTACGTCCCATGCCCTTTGCATGCTTGGCCGCCGGCTTGCGACCAGCCATCGGTGGCCACGGGCCGCGTCCAGCTGGCAGTCCTCGACGCATCGGCGCCGCCTGTTGGAAAACTCCATTGGACAAAATGCGTGGATGGAAGAAACCATGTTTTTCTTATTGACCTATGGTTTGTATGTAATACAATACCCGTCGCACCATCGGCGCAGAAATCTTGGGATGCGGCCAATCAGAGCCGGGACTTTCCTTTCGATGATGGCCCCGAGCGTCCTCGGCGGCAACCGGTCGAACCGCCGGACGATCGTCTTCTTCGTGTGCACGTGGGTCCTGTACTCGGTCTTCTTCGTCGTGGCGCTGCTCTCGTGCATGGCCTTCAGCCTTGTCGCGATCGCAACCGGCGCGGCCGGCGACGGCGGGTACGAAGCTCGGTTCGTTGCGCTCGCGACCGCCTTGGTGCGCTTCTACTGGCGCGTCGAGATCGGCGTCCTCTCGCTCTACGAGACCGAGCGCACGCGTTCAATGCAGACGCGGCCGCCGGAGCTCACGAGTTCGCACGTGCTGCACACGCTCCTGTACATCTTTGGCTGGAAGACCACGTTTGTGGGCCCGCTCTCGGCGATTCCAGTCGCGATTTGGATCCTTGGCATGCACACAGTTGTGGACGCGCCTGTTAACACGTACGCGAGCGGCGGCTTGACCGTCGAAGTGCTCGTCAAGTGGTCTCTCTTCCTCTTGGCCGGCCTCGTCATCGGGCAAATCCTCTGTCTCGTCATTGTGTCCATCAGCATTGGCTTGTACAACAGCATCTTTCCGTCGCCAGCGGTCAGCGACGAGCGCCGGCCGCTCGCAAGAGATGTCGCTATCAACATCTACCACAGCACGTCGACGCAGGTGCGCGATACGTTTACACCGACGAAACCGTTGCCCGCGCAAGAGTCCCACCACGCAGCGACAAGCCATGTCGCTGAAAAGCCACTCGTGGTTCCGCAGCCAACCGAGCCCTCACCTGTGGCCCCTAGCGCACCCGACGGCGTGCCGGCGCCAGCAGGAGACGAGGATGCGATCCCCACCGAGACGCCAGCCCCTCGTAGCGCCTTGCCCGAGGCTCTTGCTCCCATTCCCGTCCATGTCCATGGCACGTCCGTGGCGATCGCTCGCGACGCCGTCGACACGCAAGCTCTCGAAGACATCGAGGACGACAGCGCAGACACCGACGACCGCGACGCTGAGCTTGCGGCCCTCGAAAAGCGCATCGACGACTACAAGCGGTTTGAAGCCGCCGCCAAAGACAACAAGAAGCTGCGTCGACGGCTCGAGAAGGAGCGCCGGGGCGTCGAAGACGAGCTGCAGAAGCTGCTCGAGCAACGCCAGGCGAGCGCGTTCGTCATCGCCGGCGCACACATGTCGCCGGCGGGTCCGATGCGCGGCCCGATGCAAATCCACGTTGCCCCTCGCGCGTTCCAGACGCAGCCCGCGCCCGAGGACCACGAGTATGGCGACAGCATCCGCTACAGTGCCTTCTCGCCGGGCAGTCTCACGTACAGCTACATTCCCGGGAGCCTCCACACGCAGTCACCGAACGTGTACCGCAACTTGTGCGACGACGCACTGATTCGATCGCCACCGCTTTACGATCCGTTTGACGGACCCTCGCCGACGCTGCAGCCGTACGGCCTTATGTACGGGCACATGTCGCCGCCACCCACAGCGCTCTTATCGTCGTCTGACTTTGAGCCCAAGACGCGCGGCTTCCGCCTCTATCGGTCGTTAAACACCCCTTCGCGCCCGCCTTGGCGCCTGACGATGTGCTCGACCACGTGCACCTGACAGCGTATGCGCCGCCCTGCGTCGCGCCCCAGAGTTTGTTCTCGTTTGCGGTCTGGGCCTTCCTTATCAACCAACGCGACGACATGCACGAAGCCGCGACGGCCGACGGCAGCGCGCGCCAGCTCTCGCGCGATATCATGTTTGGCTTGCGCCGCGGCGCCCTCATCCACGTGACGCTCGAGCTGCCCGATGGCTTCTCTCTCCTCGATGGAGTGCGTACGAAAGCGCTGCCGTGGCTTGGCGCTGCGACCCACGTCGCGTGAGGTATCCAGTGCAACCTGCCGCACGCGACCCGCGACCAAGTCCTCCTCAAAGCCACGGTCGTCGTCGGTACCAAGGTCATGATCCTTCGCGCCTACATGCACATTGCGTCGATCGCCTCGTCGATGGACACGGCGGAGCTCGACTCCCAGCTCGAGATGCTCCCCGAGACGTTCGAGGAGATTCCGTTCACATCGCTCGAGATGAAGGAGCTCGTGGGCCGCGGCAACTTTGGCGACGCGTACCGCGCCCGGTACCACGGCCGAGACGTACGCGCCAGATATGCATCAACCATGTAGGTTGATGCAATGTCGTGTCTAGGTCGTGGTCAAGACGCTCCGGGCAAGCGAGTTTGGCGCCAACTCGGACCAGATCGTGCAAGAGTTTCGGCACGAGGCCGCGGTGCTGGCCATGTTTGGGCACCACCCGAGCATTGTGCCGTTTGTGGGTGCGAGCACCGACCTTGCGCAGCCGCTGAGCCTCGTGACCGAGTACCTTCCGTTCGGGAGCTTGGAGAGCCAAGCGCCGGCGCTCTCGACCGACCAAAAGACGCGCATCTTATGTGACGCGGCCGCCGGGTTTCTCAACATGCACGAAGGCGGGTTCTTGCACCGCGACATTGCTGCTCGGTACGTTTTCCTTCTTTGTTTCAAAGTATCAACAAAATACGACTAGCAACTGCCTCGTCGACGAGAACCTTCGCGGCAAAATCTGTGATTTTGGCATGTGCCGGCGGGTCAACTCGTATGGCGGGAACCGGCTCGGCGAAGGTGTCGGGCCGCTCAAGTACATGGCGCCCGAGTCGCTCACGCCACCCCACGCGTTCTCGTTCCGGTCCGACTCGTACTCGTTTGGCGTCCTCATGTGGGAAACGTTTACCGAGTCCAAGCCCTTTGGCGACATGCCTGCGTATATGGCGGCGTCGCACGTGGTAGGCGGCGGCCGGCTGGCGCTCGACGAGGCCGTGCCCATCAAGTACCACGATCTCATCCAAGCCTGCTTCCACGAAGACCCGACCAAACGACCTTCGATGGCGACGATCCTGCAGACGCTACTACCGGCCTCGTAAACCTGAAATGTAAATACTATGTCGGCGCGATCGATATCACATTGCAGGAACTGAATGAATGGCAGCGTATACATGGAAGGACGAGGCCTTAGAACGTCCAGTTGGCATCCACGTCCATCGACCAGACAAACTTTTCGCGGAGGGCGCGCGGAAAGACACCGGCGATGGGCACCTCGTTCTATCACCGCATGAGCCTCTTTTCGTGGTGATGCGGACGTCGACGTACCCGCTTGGCCCACGCCACGGTGATGCGCGGGTCCATATAATTGATCTTGGACGTCCCAAGCGCAACCTCCTTGTTGTCGTTCTACCAAGCACGCACGTTGGTTGGAAGCCACTTTACGAGGCGTACCTTGTCCCGCAGCCGCAGGTCGAGCGCCTTGATCTTCTTCTTCCAGCTATCTATCTTCTTGTCGACTTGGTCGGCGGTCGGGACCTTGGAGAAGCGATGCGCTTGGGCCTTCTTCGCCTCCGCGTCATCATCCGGCTCTTCCGTCTTGATTTGGATCTGCTTGGTTTTGTTCTTCTTCAAAAGGAGCTTCATCTCTTCGAGTTCCTTGAGCTGGTCCTTCATCTGGTCGAGCTGCCCGACCATCTTCTCGACCGCCGTGTCGTGGTTCTTGGGCACCGTGCGCTGATGGTTGCATAGGATCGCGACCTACGAACCAGTACATCGCTTGATAGGTTGATTCGATTGGGAGACAAAACCTTGCGGTTGGCGTCGTTGTATGCGACGACCTTGACCGCCACGTCGTCGCCCGACAAGATGTGCGGCAGCTCCTTCTCGAGCGTGACCGATGCGTTGAACGTACGGAAGACCTTGGCCGAGAGCCCGGGCATGAGCGAGCTCAAGTGCTTGTTGAGTTCCGTGACGCTGAGTTCGTCAAAGATATCTTGCTGCTTTTGCTTCTTGGCGCAAAAACTCTTGACATTGCGGTACACGAGCTCGCCGACGCTGCCATATTCGGCGAGACGGATCGTGTTGTTGTACGGCATCGAGTCCTTCCCGAGGAAGCTCAGCGTGAGCTCGCAGTTGTCGTCGCTAAAGCTCGCGTGCTCGACACGCAGCGAGCAGCAGCCGACTGTGTCGGCCTCGTCCTCGCCCTTCTCGTTGCCGACACGCAGCGCGAGCACGTCGATGACCCACATGGCGGTTGAGCGCTGGCGCGTAAACATGTCCTTGGCCTTGAGCCCCTCCGTGTAGTCCTTGCGGATCTTGGTGATAAACTTCTTGAGTCGGCGCGCCTTCTCGTACTTTTCCATGTCGGCCTTGCCCTTGAAGCTTGAGGACGCAGCAAGCCAGACGTACTTGATACCGCCCATGACATTTTCGTTCCAGTAGGCGAGCCACGAGACCGTGTCGCGGTGGATGACCTCCTTCCACGCGTGGCCCGGCATCGGGCACACAGGGACGCGGTCTTCGATGCCACAGTTGATCGTGACTTCTTCGGGCATGACCGCCTTCTTGAGCGTACCCGTCTTCGGGTGCTCGCCGCGACCGCGAAAGAGGTTGGGCGGCTCGATGCGAAAGTTGCCGACTTTCTCCAAGTGCCCGTCGACGATCGCAAAGCCATAGTTGAAGAGCTCGGTCTCGCGCTTCGCCTTCTCGGGCGCCTTCTCTTCTTTCGTGCGCTCGCGCTTCTTCTCGCGCTGCTCGTCGAGGTGCTTGCGGATCAAGTCAAAGTTGCACTTGGCCATGCTCTTGACCACGTGGCCCTTCCCCAGCGCTTCCTTGAAGTCGGCGAAAAAGTTCTTGGTAAACATCTCGCTCGTTTTCGGGTTGCCGAGCTGCGGGCCGTCGAGGGGCATCGCAGCGTAGAACGACGCAATCTCTTCCTGCGCTGGCGTCAGCTCGACGGGCTGGTTGTCGTAGTAGAGCGGGACGCCATGCGGCTCGTACGACGGCGGAAACATGACGCCGTTGTGCTCGAGCGTACGCCACTGAATGTCTTCCGGGAGCTCTTCCGCGTTCCACCAGCGGTACGCCTTGATCGCCATGTCCAGTCGTTCCGACTTGCTCTGCACTTTGAGCTTGCGCACGGCGCCCGACTCGGACTTGACCTTGACGCTGCTGCTGCTCGACGCCTTCTTCTTGGTCGTCTTGGCGTCCTTGGCCGACGCCTTGACCGACGCCTTGGCCTTGGTCGCCGGCTTCTTCTTGAGCTCCTTCTTCGGCGCGGCCTTGGCTTTCTTGGGCTTGAGGCTCGACAGCGGCGTCTCGTCAAAGTCCGAGTCGTCCGAGTCCGCGGCCCGCTTCGTCGCCGTCTTCTTGACCTTCTTACGCAGCGGCTCGAGGTCGCTGTCGGAGGACATGCTGCGCTCTCCGCCTGTGGTCGCTGTGGAAGTTTCTCAACACAACCAACACCCGCTCGCTTGACGATCCAATCTAGGGTCCTCTGACATCTAATACACTATTCTATTGCACAGGATATGTATTCTCGCAGGTCGGCTATTGCACGGAAATAGTGTGTCGAGAGAGACAAGATCCGTGTTGCCGCTTGCGTCGCGGTGCTGTGCGTCGTCATATTCTTTGGATCTAGTACATTCCAAGACCCTCTTGCTCCTCAGACATGTCGTGGGTCGTGAAAACGATCCGGCGGACGCTCTGCCGCCTTCAAACTAAAGTAGAGGACGCCTACGGTATTGTGGCTAGCAGTAAATTCTTCTCGAGCACTGCCTCGACGAGCTGCGTGTTGTCAAGGGACTTATGCAATCGATACACATGGATAGTTTTGAGGCGTTGGGACGTGCGTGATACGTAGTTTGAGGCCGAGCGACAAGAAAAGTGCAACTTGGCGATTTTTCAAGATTTTGAAAAGGATTCGTTTGGCGCTTGTTGGAGCGCCTTCTTGTCTCTTGTTGCATCGACAGGTCCCTCGACCAGTTGGCCATGCTGCGAGTGCGTGCGCAAACAAGAGGTCACAGGTGGAGAAGGAGAGAACAATGGCGACCGAGAGAGAGAGAGAAAGGCTGCGATTACGCCAAACTAATCGGACATGGCACGAAAAGGTGCAAACGTTTGTTCTGTCAATCTCACACGCGCATTGCTGTGCGATCTATACTAATGGACTCCGTAGTAGATGCACAATAGCTGGCTGGTTCACGTTAGCTCTCTTCTGCTCTGCAGTGTGCTGGTTTCTTCTGCAAGCATATTCTTACACTATTTTGGATCAACTATTTTCTCGGATCCACGAGCCCAGTCGCTCTCTGTCCATAGTGATTGGATATACGCGTAGCAACGAGGTACTTACTATGTTACTACTACATGCTTGCCACGACCTACAACAAGCGCCCCCTAAGCACCACACCAGCACTCTTGACGGTAATTAATATTTGGCGCTCGAAATTCACATGAAACGTTAAACATTAAAACTGGAAATTCACTTTGAATCGACCGGATGCAATTTTCTTATCCGGATACAGCCTTTTAGTCGGAACCCAGGTATTCTTGATTTTGTCGCCGAGCATGCTCGCAACCTTCCGCTCGATCGCGCTGAGCGTCATGCAAAAGTACGCCGAGTTCGGCGTCGAGGCCGCGCCGCCCAAGCCGTACCCGTTCGACGTGGCGGTCCTCCCAACACGCGACGACCTCGTCGACATGTGGCTGCCGCTGGAGCGAGAGCGCACGGCGCCGCTGCGGTCGGGCACCGACACGATGGCACGGACGTGCAAGCTGCATGGCGACACGGTCTTTCTCAAGTGCATCGACTTGACGACGTCGTCGACCGCCAACAAGACAGACTTTGTCGCGAAACTCAAGGAGATGAAGGCGCTGCGCCACAAGAACATTGTCGAGGTGCAAGGCGTCTCGCTCGTCGTCTACTCGACAACGCTCTGCGCCGCCATGGAGTTTATGGCCCAAGGCTCGGTGCTCAACGTCATTTACAACAAGAAGACGGAGCTTAGCGCCAAGCAGATGTGGGCCATGTGCCTCGACATTGCCGAGGGCCTCGCCTACCTCCACAAGGACGCCAAGCGTGCGCACGGCAGCCTCTGCACCATGCACGTGCTCGTCAACGCCGCGGGCACTTGCAAGCTCAACGTCCAGGCGATTGTCAAGGCGCCAGCGAGCGTTGACGCGTACGGTGTCATGGAGATGGCCTACCGGGCGCCGGAGACGCTGGATGGGCACCACGCCCTGGACCTCGCCGCGCGCCAAGCCGCCGACATGTACGCGCTGGCTGTTGTTTTCTTCAGATCTTTAGCCGGTCGCAGCCCTATGCACAAGTCTATGCCGAGCATGGGTACGTGCGCGGCGATCTGCTTATTGCACAGGCCAAGGTGACGGGGGCGCTCGCCCCGTTTTCGACGCCGGCGACGTGGCCCACTGACGCCGCAAGCGTCATCACGCGGTGTCTTGCGACAGAGGCGTCGGTCCGACCGTCAATCACCGAGGCTGTCGCCGTCGTCTCGGCGCAGGTCGCGCAATTCGCATAGCCGACTGCTACTCTTTAATTAGTCGTTACAACAAACCTACTCTAATCTATCCTTCGGCACCTCCTTGTGTATGCGTTGCTGGTAGTACCCCTGTTCTGAAATAGACAGGCGCGACAGGCGTTTCCAAGTTGGACGACCAGCCATGACTGCGGTCCATCCGGTGGATCCGCTCGCGTCGGGCTCTGTGATCCTGCCGACTCGCCGCGCCACGACCCTGATGGTGTACCAGGACACGGGAACCCTCTTGAACGTCGCGTGGTGCGTGGCCGGCGTTGTGTACCTCGTCGGCACCTCGGCCTTGAGCGTCTACTTTGTCTACCTCCTGGGCCCGAGCATGACCAACGACCTCTTCTGGGCGGGCTTCAACACAACGGGGATGCAGTCGTTTGTCGCCGACGCGTTCAATCGGGCGCTTACCGCTGCGACGAATGCATCAATCGACCTAGATCTGCGCTGTCCCGGCCTCTTCTTCAAGAACGACTACAGCAGCAGCGTCAACCAGATCGGCGTCAACCCCTCGTATGTTCGGAGCGTCCTCGGTGCCATGACGCTCCTCGAAGCCGTGCGGGGTCTCCGCGCCGTCACGATGGACTATGCGCTCTGGCTGCCAACGCAAAACTGCTGGGTTGACATGGATCGCCGCTGGGAGCTCGCCCACACACTGCGCCGCCAAGCGAGATGTGCTGCAGCTGATAGCGACAACGCGGCCGTGTACCTCGAGGCGCTGCTCCGCAATGTCGACTGGGACGACTGGATGAGCACAGCGGGCTCGGGCTTTCAAACGGCGATTCTCGACGCAGTAGTAGACGATGTCGACGGCCCTGCGTGGGTGACTGCCACGGCCAGCGCCGACACGACGGTTGACGACGAAGTTGCGTACTGGACGACGCATCGTTTACGCCGGTTTGCACTGCAGTGGCACAACCTCTGGCAAGGCGGAATGACCGAGACCGTTGTGATTGCGAATGCACTCGGCATGGAGCAAAGCCTAAGCATCAAGAATCTTCCGATCGTGTCACGGGACTATATGTGGACGAGCCTCAACTGCTACTGGGCGCTCTTCAACGATCTCTGGGCCGCCGGTGTCCAAGGCGTATCACTGGTGCGTGTGAACGCTAGCCAAGTCGATTTTGAAGCTGTCCAGGGCGCCGACCCGACGACGCTGCCTGTCGCGCTCCTGCATACACACATTGGTCCGCTCCTCTCGATCGACATGCGCTACGTGGCGCTACCGCACTCGCTGGCGACGCTCGCCTTCCTCTTTGACGCAGCGTTTGCCCGCGTCATCTCCAATAGCTCAGCGCAGTCCGTCCACAACCCCCGCACCGTGCTCGCGACGCCATCGTCGTGGCGGCAACCGACGCTGTCCTACCACGGTGGCAATCCTTTCTGTGTCACAGGCGCCAGCCAGACGTCGTACGCCCAGCCAACTTTTGGTTTTTACGATACTTGTAGCTCCCAAGACCAAATGACGCTGCCGTACACGGCGCACAGTCTCGCTTTTGCTGTGCTGGGCGCTAGCATGAACGACAGCAGCATCGTGCCTTCACTGCACGAGCTCTGTGGCCACTCAACTGACTGCGTGGACGACATCATCGCTGCATCGTCGTTCGTCGCGGGCTCGAAGGACATTGAAGCCCTCGCGCCTCTTTCGGTTGTCGCAGCCGACCAAGTAGCCATCCTTCAAGTCGAAGTCATGCAGTTTGCTCTAGTCAATGGCTCGGACCCTCTTCTGCTGCATCAATTGTTGACGGATTGGGGTATCTTTGGCTGGGTGCACCTCTACGACTGGGCGGTTGGGACGCGGGAAGTGGTCAAGTTTGAAGGCGACGTCGGGTCGATGACGCTCATCTCGACCGCTGTACCCCCGATCGGATTCGATGCGATGGCGCTGGAGGTGCCCCGGAGCACGTGCAACTATCTCTTGTACATTGTTCTCTACTCGACCGCTGTCCTGGGCTTTGTCGCTGCATTTGTCTTGCTTCGCTGTGTGTGGATCGAGTTTCTGGATGCACCTCTACGACTGGGCGGTTGGGACGCGGGAAGTGGTCAAGTTTGAAGGCGACGTCGGGTCGATGACGCTCATCTCGACCGCTGTACCCCCGATCGGATTCGATGCGATGGCGCTGGAGGTGCCCCGGAGCACGTGCAACTATCTCTGGTACATTGTTCTCTACTCGACCGCTGTCCTGGGCTTTGTCGCTGCATTTGTCTTGCTTCGCTGTGTGTGGATCGAGTTTCAAATCGCAGGTCGCAACCTCTTTTTTTTCAACCGCGTCGCCGCCTTTGTCTGGGTCGGTCGCCCCGTCTTTCTCGTGCGAGGCGTCACAGCCATCATCCTGCTCAGTACTGCGCCCATGGCGCTGAGCCCGCGCCACGGCTGGACCGGCCTCGCCTTTGAGACTCGGTCCTTCTTTGAGACGGCGGTTTTGACAAGCGAAGTCGCTTGGCTCTCGTACGTTCTTGTCGACATCCTCCTCGTCATTTTCCCCGAAAGCGCACCCACGTACGCACCGGTAAGCGCAGCCTTGACGTGGATCATCATCCTTCTCTACTCGATCTTGGATCCGGTGTGGCCCACCGCGTCCGTCGCACGCACCTGCGTGAGCGTCAACTTTGATGCTCAGCTTCTCTGTGTGAGCGGTCGACTCGAGATCGGGAGCTGGGTGCGCACGCTGCATATTCTCGCGCTTGTGCTCGGGGCTGTGATTGTCGCGATTCTTCTTTTGACCTGTCGCGCCGAGCGGCTCGGATCGCGCCGCTGCGTCGCTCGGCGAACGAAGCCAAACCAACGGTCATATCTGCGGCCGGTGAAGCCTTTTTGAGCCTTCGCATACTCACGATTGAGAACACGACCAATTGGTGCATGGACCACGCCATGTGCACACTGTGCGGGCTCATTCCGTTTCAATTCAAGGGCAACGACTATGTCTTTGACATCAAACTCTGGGTCGTCTGGAAGAAACGACGCACCACCGAGAAGCATCGAACACAGTCGACGCTCCATATGCGATCACCGTCGCTTTCGGTCCGAGCGCGGCCCATCACGACTGCAATTCTTTCAGCGCCCGTTGTCGAGCCAATGACAAAGTACGTCAGTACCAACACGTGGCGCGGCTACCTTTTGCACTGCTGCAGCCACCGCGTCCCATGGAATACATTGATGGTCGTGCTCGGCTTGGGCTACCTCGTGCTGACGATCGCTAGCAGCATCGTCTTTATCTCTGTCTCGGGCCAGAACCTCGCCAACGACTTTTTCTGGCCCGGCTTCAACAGCACCGGCATCGACGCCTTTCTCGGCAATTGGTTCAACAACCAGCTGTTCTATGCGACGACGCCCATGACGTGGCGCCTCGACGACGTCGGGTTTGCAGACGCCTTGCTCTACAATGGCTCGACGACCTTGGTCATGTCGCAGTCGCTCTACACAAATGTCATCTACTTGGAGACCCTCGCGAGCGACCTCGGCGCTGCGATCGCAGGTCTACGGATGACGCCCCCGAGCACGCTGCCGTATGTGTTTACGTCGTTTTGCTACCTCGACTTTGAGCGGCGCTGGGCCATGGCCAACTCGGCAGCGCGGCAGACGCGGTGTGCAGCCTACAACACCAACGGCGCCGTGTACCTCGAGGCATTTGTCCGCAATACCGACTGGGCGAGCTTTCACGACGCGTGGGGGAACGCCTTTGAGATCGCGTTTGGGAACGACTTGAACGCGAGTGCGGCCGGCCTGGCCTGGCGATCGGCCAGTCGCGATCCTGGCACGAGCATTGCCGACGAAGTGCGTCTCTGGACAAACCATGCGATCGCGTCGTTTACGCTGCAGTGGCAAAACTACAAGCGGCTCGGCCTCTTTGATGCCTTCGACGTCGAGACTGCGTTTGGCTTTCGCTATGCGATGACGCTCAAGCAGACGGTGGGCTCGTGGGCCTGGAAAGACCAGACGTCGCTCAAGATGTACTGGTCGTTTGGCGCCGACCTCGACGCCGTTCGTGCCAACTCGTCGCTGTTGAGTGGGCAAAGTCTCTTGCGTGATAGCCCGCGCTTTGCCTATGTGAATGGCTCGAGCCTGGAAGACGTCATGAGCCAGAACGGAACGCTGGCGCCGCCGTTTGGCCTCGGCTTTGGGTTGGTGCGCGCGCACCTTGGGCCCTTTGGGTCGATTGACGTGCTACATGTCCCTGTCCCGCCAGCGCTCTTGCGATTGCAGCAGCTGTTTACTCGCCTCCTCAGCACGAATTTGGCTACAAAAGCAGCGGCCGCCACGGCATACGGAGCGCTAATCGTGCCGTCGCTATCGCCTGCGCCCTCGACGTGGTTTACTTCGTCCATCTTTATCTTGGGGGGCAATCCGCTCTGCGATACGGGGGGCGTGCCCCCCACGCGTGGCATTCAGAGCTCAGGTTTGCGGGCCTTTTATGGCGCCGCTGCAGTGTGCGGCTCCAACTTTGGCGAGTACATTACACCGACGACGAAGGGAGTTGCGTTTGCAACTGCCGTGACGCAGCTCTCAGCACCCTCTCAGAATGTCTCTCAAAGCTGTGCCTTTGACGTACTCAGTCCACCGACATGTTTTGAAATGGTCCTGGCCGCCCAGGCGTGTACAAATGCGTGCTTTTCGACCGACCAACTCGATGCGCTTCAAGTTGCTGTTGACGCAGCCGTCGTCGCCATTCAAGCAGCCCACGTCACAATCGTTCAGTACGCTCTCAACGGCTCGACGCCGCAACTCCTCGCAATCGACCTCCTCGATCCAAGCGACCCTGAATTTATGCTTTTTGGGTGGTTCTTTCTCTGGGACTGGGCGACAGGGTATCGTGAGGTTGTCAAGTTTGTCGGAGACACTGGCGCACTCAGCGTGCTCTCCACAGCAGTGACAACCACGAGCCTTGCACCGAATGCTCTCGAGATTCCAAAAAACCTTGTGCTCTTCTTGCGCAACGTTGTGCTGTACGTCACATCAGTGCTGGTTGCTGTGAGTATTCTCGTCGTCTTCCACATGCTCGGGAGCCGTGGCCAGATCTCGGGCAGCCACCTCTTTGGCCTCAACCGCGTCGCCGGTATCATCTGGGTGGGTCGTCCGCTGCTACTCTTGCGCAGTCTCACGGCCATGGCTGTCCTCAGTACCGCGCGCGTCGACCTCGTCCAAACTGGCATCGTCACGCTGTTTCAGACGACCGTCTCAAGCGCCGTCCTCACGGTTCTCAGTGCGGGCGAAGTCACGTGGTTCATTTACGTCCTCAACGACATTCTTATGGTCTACACGCAGCAATATGCGCGACTCTATATGACCAAAGCCACATACCTCTTGTGGTTGATCTCGGCGATCTGGAGCTTTGTGTCGCCCGTGACGCACTCGGCTACCGTGGCGCGGACCTGCGCCGCGATCGATCTGAACCTCCAGCTGGTGTGTCAGAGCGGCGTCCTGCGCATTGGCGATCGAACGCGCTTTGTCGAGCTCCTTTTGCTCTGCGTGGGTTGCCTCCTTCTGTGCTATGGTATTGAGCGCTGGCGCGTCCCCAACCTGCTGAACAACTCGCCATTGTCGCACCACTTGAGCTGCGAGGCCAAGTACTTGTTTAACCTTGAAAAGTGGCGATTCCAGGGCGTCTACTACTTGGACAAGGCGTCGGCTGCGATGAACGGCATGCTCATTCTCTCGATTGGTGACACATTCCACGTTCTCGATATTAAGACGTGGCGTCGCTTCCAATTACGCGTGCCAGTGGCTCACTATAACGAGATGGACGCGAGTACCCGCCACCGGCTTCGTCACGCATACCCTCTCGTTGAGTAAAATTATTGATCGATATTGATTCACGTCCTTGCAGCAATTATTGGGGCACCAGTGACCCATGAACAGATGTGCGCCTCTTATCAAATGCACATGGCCCGTAGTCCAGCAGCTAGTATCTTAACCGACTATCCAGCTATCGTGGGTCCTCTGGATCTATCTACTCACTTCGACGACATCGATTGCCATAGTACCTATCGTTTGATCCAGTGTGAGCCCTTCCGCGCCGGCAGTCCGATTAGCGGACGCGTGATGGTACGTCACCCGACTGCGTTGTGTCGACGGTTGTTTTGACGCTCGCACAGACTGCGACGTCAGGATCGCATCCGGATAGTGTAAATTATACGGATGGGTCCAGCCAACCATTCAAATTGAGTGGTGCCATCTCCGGACCATCTCCGGGTGGCTTTTGATTGGTCAAAAAGGAGCCGAATTTCGTCTTGAAGCCATTTATCAAAACATCAAGATGACCGACGACAAGAAGCTGGCCAAGAAGCTCCGTAAGGAAGCGAAGCGCCAGAAGCAGGAGGCCGAGGCTGCCGTCGTGGTCGACGAGGAGGAAGAGGTCGCGCCCAAGAAGGCCAAGAAGGAGAAGAAGGCCAAGAAGGAGAAGAAGCGCAAGCAGGCGACCTCGGACGACGAGGCCGAGGCGCCGGCCAAGAAGGCCAAGGCCGACTTTGCCAACGGCCCGTACCAGCAGCCGCCGCCGTCCGACAAGTCGTTCAAGAAGTCGTTCTACATTGAGAGCCCCAACACAGCGGCGCTCTCGAACGAAGCGGTCGACGCGTTCCACCAGGAGAACCACATGACGATGAGCGGCAACCACTGCTTGTACCGCCCGATCCTCGCGTTCGCGGACGCCCGTTCCCCAAGCCGATGCTCAAGTCGTGCGAGGGCTTTGCCAAGCCGACGCCGATCCAGTCGCAGTGCTGGCCGATCCTGACGTCCGGTCGTGACATCATTGGTATTGCGCAGACGGGCTCGGGCAAGACGCTCGCCTTCTCGGTGCCGGGCCTTGTCCACATCACCGACCAGCTCAAGACGAACCCGAAGAAGAAGGGCCCGATCATGCTCGTGGTCGCGCCGACGCGCGAACTCGCCGTGCAGTGCGCCGACGTCATCTCCGTCGCCGGCAAGTCGGTCAACATCAACTCGCTCTGCCTCTACGGCGGTGTGCCCAAACACGAACAGAAGCGCGCGCTCAAGGCCGGCGTCCAGGTCGTCGTTGCGACGCCCGGTCGCCTCAAGGACCTTGTCCAGGAGAAGTCGTGCTCGCTGGCCAACGTCACGTACATCGTCCTCGACGAAGCCGATCGCATGTTGGACGACGGCTTTGAGAAGGACATCCGTCTCATCATGGGCGAGTGCCACGCCGAGCGCCAGATTGCCATGTTCAGCGCCACGTGGCCGCAGTCGATCCAGAAGCTCGCGCATGAGTTCCTCGAGGACCCGGTCAAGGTCACGATCGGGTCGGATGACCTCGCCGCGTCCGAGAACGTGACGCAGATCGTCGAGGTCGTCGATGAGTTTGGCCGCGACGCCAAGCTCGATGGCCTTCTGAAGAAGTACCACAGCTCGCGCAAGAACCGCGTCTTGGTGTTTGTCTTGTACAAGAAGGAGGCTGTCCGCGTCGAGACGATGCTCCAGCGCAAGGGCTGGAAGTGCACGGCGATCCACGGCGACAAGGGCCAGGCCCAGCGCATGGAAGCCCTCGAGGCGTTCAAGAGCGGCAGCATCCCGCTGCTCATCGCGACGGACGTGGCGGCGCGCGGCCTCGACATCCCGGACGTCGAGTTTGTCCTCAACTACTCGTTCCCGCTCACGATCGAAGACTACGTGCACCGCATTGGCCGCACGGGCCGCGGCGGCAAGAAGGGCATTTCGCACACGTTCTTCACCAACCACGACAAGCCCAAGGCCGGCGAGCTCGTCAACCTCCTCCGCGAGTCGAACGCGCCGGTGCCTGAAGAGCTCACCAAGTTTGGCACGCACGTCAAGAAGAAGGAGCACAAGCTCTACGGCGCGTTCGCCAAGAACGTCGACATGAACAAGAAGGCGACCAAGATTACGTTTGGTGACAGCGACGACGAGTAAATAGATGTTACGACCACGAATTAGACCCCCACTCAATTTATAAAATCCCATTGCTTTGACTCTTCTTCGATCTCCAAAGACACCATCCGAAAGCATAGATTGAGTTTGAGAATGAGCGTGTCGCTGGATCGTGCACGATGATGTATTAATAAGTGCGGTGGAATAGTACTAACTGGGCGTCCCAAGAGGTGAAGTTCTACAAGACGGGACGAGCTTTAATCATGAGCTCAATTGATCAAATCATCAACCTTCGATTGAAGGGCTACCCCCAGCAGGTGACATGAACGAGTGGGTCGAGCTGCTCGAACGATGTGTTGTGCGAGGTGATGAGCGCTTTGAGGGCTTTACACAAGGTCTATGCACGGATACGACGTGTACTAAAGTATCCCACTGGATTCGAACATGCACAATATGTCCTAGGTGTGATTACGTTTAGGACTCGTCGGCATCGCGCCAGTGGTCGACGAGGTTGGTAAAGAGGCCCTTCGGGTTCTTGAGCAGCTCGCTCGGCGCATCAAACTCGGCCGCACCGCCCTTGTCCATGACCAGAATGCGGTCGCAGTCCAAGATCGTGTTGATGCGGTGCGCGATCGTCAAGGTCGTGCAGTCGACAAACTCTTCGCGGATGCTCTGCTGGATGAGCCGGTCCGTGTTGGCGTCAATCGACGCGGTCGCTTCGTCCATGAGAATCACTTTCGCCTTCTTCAGTAGCGCACGCGCAATGCAAATCAGCTGCCGCTCGCCGACGCTAAAGTTCATGCCGCGTTCGTCGACCTTGTCGTCGAGCGACGTGACCGCTGACTCAAGGTGCGCACGCTTGACGGCCACCCACAGCGCCGCGTCGTCGTAGCGCGAGAACGGATCCAAGTTGGACCGGATCGAGCCCGAGAAGAGCACCGGGTCTTGGGGAATGATGGCGATCTTCTCGCGTAGATCATGGAGACCAATGGTCGCAATGTCGACGCCGTCGATGAGGATGCGACCGCCGCACGGCTCGACGATGCGCATCAAGGCAACGACGAGACTCGATTTGCCCGCGCCCGTGCGGCCGACGATACCGATCTTCTCGTTGCGACCAATGCGAAAGCTGAGCTTCCGGAGCACGCGGGGAAGACCCGGGCGGTAGCGCAGGTCGACGCTGTCAAACGTGACTTGGCCGTCGCTGGGCCACGCCGATGCTTGGAGCTTGGCCTGGACGGTCGTCGGCGCATACAAGTCGGCTTCCGTGTCGAGGACGCAGTAGTTGTGGATGCGCTCGACCGACACCATTTGAGTTTGGATCGAGCTGATCATGCGCACCGACCAGTTGAGCGACTGCGTGACCGAGAACGCGTACGAGAGCGAGACGCCGGCAAGGCCCGCGAACGCAACGCTGTTGTCGGCTTGGTGCCCGCAGACCGCAAACAAGGCCGCCGACGTCGCGACGACCGTGCCCGCAAACTCGAGGCGGAGTGCGAGCCAGCAGTTGGCCGAGAAATTCAAAAAGTACGCGCGCTGGTTGCGGTCGAGGAGGTCTTCGTTGCGGGCCGCAAACTGCGTCTCGGCGCCAAACGCCCGGATGGTCGCAATGCCCTCGAGCGTCTCGGTGAAGAGTGCGTAGACGGGCGAGCGCGAGATCGAGTCGAGGCGCTGGAGCTCGCGCGACGTCTTGACAAAGTAGCGCTGCGACACATAGTAGAGCGCGCCGAGCGGGAGAAGCACCAAGGTAAAGTACGGCGTGACGTACACGACGGTCGCAATCGTCGTGAGCACCGAGAAAATCGTGCCAAAGAGCATGCCCCACGTCGACGGAATCGACTCGTCGATCGCATAGACGTCTTTCGAGAGGCGGTTGACGATGCGGCCGAGCGGCGTCGTATCAAAGAACGACGTGGGCGCGCGCAGCACTTGCGTGAGCAGCTGCTGGAAGAGCACCTTGGAGCCACGGAGCCCGGCGAGGTACAGCGTTAAAATGCGCACAAAGACAGAGGCCGTGTAGCCCACGTTGAGCGCTGTGAAGATCCAAAAGTAGTACATTTGGTCCGACTGCGACGACCCGGCCTGCTCCGACCAGTACGAGAGCCAGAACGTCGACGCGAGGTTGACGACCTGCGAGAGAACGAAGAAAAGAACGACGGCGGCCGCGACGCCAAAGCCGCCGCACGCGCGAATCCACACCTTGTAGGTCGCCCACGGCACGTCGCCCGTCGCGCGGTCCTCATCGAGAATGAGCGCGCCGTTCTGGTCCTTATTCGTCTCGCCGTCCGTGTCGCTGCGCATCGACGACCCACGGCGGCGCGGGACGCCGTCGTCACCGTCATTGGCTGCGTCCTCCATCTCGTCCGTCTCGGTCACCGCATACGTTTCTTCGGCCGGCGCTTCCTGGACGCTTTCGAGAAGCGTGGCCAGCACGCCGCCTGGAATGGCCGAGACGTCGGCGAACGTGCCAAGCTCGGCGACCTTGCCGCTCGCAATGACGACGACCGCGTCGCAGTCTTTAAGAAACTGGAGACCGTTGGTCACGAGGACGACGAGCTTGCCCTTGAGCGCCGTCTGGAAGCACTGCTTAAAGATGTCCGAGCCCACGTGGCTGTCAACGGCCGCCAACGGGTCGTCGAGGAGGTAGATGTCGGCGTCTTGGTACACGGCACGGGCAATCGCCACGCGCGTGCGCTGCCCACCGCTGAGGTTGATGCCCTTCTCACCAATCTCCGTCAAGTCGCCTCCCGGAAGGATCTTGAGGTCGTCACGAAGCGAACTCACTTGAATTGCCTTTTGGTACTTGGCGTGCTCGAACGGAAGGCCAAAGGTGATGTTGTCGCGGAGTGTCGCGTTCTGGATGAACGGCTGCTGGCTCACGTACGCGATCGAGCCTTTCAGGTGCACAGAGCCGTTCGAGCACGTGGCGTCGCCCAAGAGACCCGATAGGAGCGTCGACTTGCCCGACCCGACTGCGCCGACGACCGCAATCAATTGATTCGAGCCAAGCGAGAGCGAGACGTTGGCCAGCGCCGGGGCCGCCTCGGCGCCTTCTTCATACGTAAAGGTCGCATTGTGCAGCGCAATGCCGACGTCTGTGAGGTTGCCAGCGGTCACTTGCGACCGCTCGTCGAGGAGGAAGAACTCGGTGAGGCGCTTGAACGAGACTTGCGCCTCGACGAGCGAGTTGATGACGTTCGGGAGCATGAAAAGCGGGAAGCGCAGAATGTTAAAGAGCGCGAGCGACGTGAGCGCCGTGCCCACGTCGAGCGTGTTGCCGAGGTAGATGTACGTCGCGAACGAGACGATCGTCACGAGGGACGGGACGCCGTTGTAGACGACATCGGAAAACGCATCGGCAATGTAGTACGTGCGAAGGCGCGCGAGTTCGTTGGTGCGGAACTCCATGACGCGGGTCGTAAAGCTGTTTTCCCATGCTTGGAGCTTGATGACCTTGATGCCCGAGAGGACTTCGTACGTGACCTTGACGCGCTCGTCCTTGACCGCCATGAGCTTCTCCTGGAGCGCTTGCATCATCTTGGAGATGCACGCCGTCGCCGGAATCAATAGCAGAATGACAATGACGCCCGAGACAAATGCAACGCCGAGCTGGAGGTACAGCAAGTACGACGACACGACGATCTGGAAGAACGCGTACCAGATCGCATGCGAGTAGTTGGTGATCTCCTGGAGCCGCTGCGCGTCGATGCTCATGAGGTTGGTGATCTCGCCCGTCGAGCGCTTGCCTTTCGCCGCCGCCGAGAGCACGAGCGACTTGTGGTACACGGCCGTGACGACCGCCGACCGAAGGCGGAGACCGGTCTCAAAGCAGTAGAAGAAATACTGGCGCAACGCAAACGACTGGATCACGCCAGCGACAAAGATCGCGCCGGCGTAGATCAAGCCCACGCGGAGGTCCGCGTCCGGCTGCGAGAGGAACTCAATGATGAGCTTGATCACCATGGGCCCGACAAACTGGAGCGAGTCGTGAATGAGCTTGAGAAAGCCCGCGTACGCAAAGGGCCAGCCAAAGGCGCGCGCCATGGCCCGCCAGAGGCGCGGCGTCGGGAGAAGTAGCTCGCGGCTCCACTGCGCTTGGAAGCTCTTGGAGATATGGACAGCACGGTCGTCGCGGTTGAGCTGGTACAAGTCGGCAAACTCGAGCGGGCGGCGGTTCCCGAGGTCGAGGAGCGGCGTGAGCCACGAGAAGAAGAGGCCGGACGCGCAGCCGCCCATCTCGTCGGGGCAGCGGTCGCCGAGGCCGTCGGCCTTGGCGAGGAGCGGCAGCGCCTCTTGCGACTTGCGTGTCATCGAGGGAAAAGCCAAATGGGCGGCTCCATGGCCACCGAATTCGGAGATTCAAAGGCGACGCCTCGCAAGAGTCAGCGGATTTGTATGATCGATCCGACGGCGTCTTCGACGTGATGCGCTAAATGGGTCAAAGACCCCACGACCCCACGTGAAACGACGTTAAACAGCCATCCACGCCAACGCGATTACGTTTAAACAGGTGGCGACCGATCAGTGCACGCACCTGGGTCGACTCGACAGCCGTAATCAAGGCAACGACACCAGCGTGGCTCGCCGCATCGGGACGGCGACACGACGACTGCTCTTCACACCGAGTGCTCATACGCACGGCTTCGTTGGCATCACCAGGAATTATGGGAGGAGGTATGGGCGGAGTTGAACTGGCGCCATCCCATCCTCGCCGCGCGCGCGATTCTCTTGGCCAGAAGCGAATCCCATCCTCGCCGCGCGCGCGATTCTCTTGGCCAGAAGCGAAGCAGGGACATGTAAACAACCCTTACTTGGGTGGCTGGTCGTCCGAACCAGCGCTCGTAGATGCACACTACAGTATTAAAGTACTAGTAGTACAGTACAGTAGTTACGAAAATCCATCGTCATATTGTTTACTCTTGGTTTGAGCTCTTTTGAAACAGCCACCTTGTTGACCAATCCCAGATGCTTGTCTAAACCATCCAATCAGCGTTCTACATCCACATACTCGGCCAATCGCGGCCGAGTTTGCACTTGCAAGCATGACCGACGCCAGCTCCTTCAAGAGCGCAGCCATCGACTTTGCCGCAGGCTGCGTCGGCGGCGGCAGTGGTATCATCGTGGGCCAGCCCTTCGATACGATCAAGGTGCGACTGCAGACCCACGGCGCCTTTTACGCGGGCCCGGTTGCCTGCGCTCGCCACACGGTAGGCAATCTCTGGATGGACGACGACGCTCACCGACATGTTATTAGTGGCGACACGAGGGCGTCCGCGGCTTCTTCAAAGGCTTGACATCGCCGCTCTTTGGCAGTCTCTGGACGAGCGCGATCGTGTTTGGGGCCTACGGTAGCGCGCTTCGCCAGCTCGAAGCGGGCGTGACTTCACCCGAGCCCCGCCTCTCGTCCGTGTTTACCGCGGGTAGTATCGCTGGTCTTCTGCAGTCGATCGCACTGTGCCCGACCGACTTGATCAAATGCCAGCTCCAAGCGCAGGACGGGTACACCAAAACACCGAGCTTTCGCGGTCCAATCGACTGCGTCCAGCACATTTACGGTCGCTTTGGCGTCCGCGGGCTCTTCCTCGGGTTTTGGCCGACGGTTCTTCGCGACTCGTACTCGTTTGGTGTCTACTTTTACGTCTACGAAGCGTTTAAACGGTCGCTGATCGAGAAGCGCGTCGACGCCACGGCGTCGATGCTCGTGGCCGGCGGCGCGGCCGGCGTCATCTCGTGGGGTCTCGTCTACCCCATCGACGTAGTGAAAAGCTGCATCCAGACGCTGCCTGGCGACGCCTCGTCGCTTGAAAAGAGCATGCGCTACCAAGTCCAGCGGCTGCTCCGAGAGCAAGGCTACGCGCCGTTCACAAAGGCCTCGGCACCACGCTCCTCCGTGCGTTTCCCGTCAACGCCGTCACCTTCTTCGTCTACGAACACACGGTGCTTTTTCTCTCGTAGCTCAACCTCGCCCAATTCGTTAAAACATCATTTTTCTGATGCTATCACACGAGATGGCTGCGTCGCCATGTTGGGGTCGACGGCCATCTCCTCGATCGATCACGTGTGATCGCGCTGTCGGAGCTTGCGGTAGCAGCCATTGCCATTGCGCATTCTTTCGGGTGATGACGAGCTCTAGCGACGCCGCGATGCGCCGAGAATGAAACGGGTAACGTTAGAGAGTGTACTTGAGTCCTGGTGGAGGCGAGTATGCGGAAGTCCTGGGCGGTAGAAAGTCCAAGCCGATTTTGGGACCGCTGTATTAACAGTATAAAATCAGTGTTCCTTGTCGCGCTCCAACGCACAAGCCGAAAGCGGTCGCATCGATCTACTCGATGAGCGGATAGGCATGCTTGAGTCGACGCCGACTCTTCACATCCATCTCCGTGTAGTGAGCTCGGGGTACGTGGAGCTGGAAGCGGCGCCAGGTTTTGATGTCGAGCGCGTAAAACGTGTCACGAAGCGAGAGAATGAGCATGCCGTTCATCGCAGCCGACGCCTTGTCCAAGTAGTAGACGCCCTGGAATTGCCACTTTTCAAGGTTAAACAAGTACTTGGCCTCGCAGCTCAAGTGGTGTGAGACCGGCGACTCGTTCGGAAGATCGGGATATCGCCAGCGCTCAATACCATAGCACAGAAGGAGACAACCCACGCAGAGCAAAAGGAGCTCGACAAAGCGCGTTCGATCGCCAATGCGCAGGACGCCGCTCTGACACACCAGCTGGAGGTTCAGATCGATCGCGGCGCAGGTCCGCGCCACGGTAGCCGAGTGCGTCACGGGCGACACAAAGCTCCAGATCGCCGAGATCAACCACAAGAGGTATGTGGCTTTGGTCATATAGAGTCGCGCATATTGCTGCGTGTAGACCATAAGAATGTCGTTGAGGACGTAAATAAACCACGTGACTTCGCCCGCACTGAGAACCGTGAGGACGGCGCTTGAGACGGTCGTTTGAAACAGCGTGACGATGCCACTTTGGACGAGGTCGACGCGCGCGGTACTGAGGACAGCCATGGCCGTGAGACTGCGCAAGAGTAGCAGCGGACGACCCACCCAGACGATACCGGCGACGCGGTTGAGGCCAAAGAGGTGGCTGCCCGAGATCTGGCCACGGCTCCCGAGCATATGGAAGACGACGAGAATACTCACAGCAACCAGTACAAAGGTGACGTACATGACGCCGGTGCGCAGGACAAGCGCGATATTTTTCGGTATTTCGAGGGCATTGGGCTCAAAAGTCGTGGTTGTCATCAAGGTCGAGAGCATGCTGAGTGCGCCAGCGTCTCCGACAAACTGGACAGCCTCGCGATACCCTGTCACCCAGTCCCAGAGAAAGAACCATCCAAAAAGCATAAATGCAGGGTCGCTTGGATCGAGGAGGTCGATTGCGAGGAGTTGCGGCGTCGACCCGTTGAGAGCGTACTGAACGATTGTGACGTGGGCTGTTTGAACGGCGACGACGGCTGCGTCGACAGCAACTTGTAGCGCATCGAGTTGGTCGGTGGGAAAGCTCACGTTTGTAAATGACTGTGCTGCCACTACCATGGCGGCGCAGCTCGAGGGGCTAAACGTTTCGATCGAGCACGCGTTACCGACGTTGCTCGTGCCCGACATCTGATGAGCGAGTGGGGCAAAGACGACCTGGTTGATACTTGGAGCAATGTACTCGCCAAACAACGTGCCACAGACGGCAGAGAGGCCGAAAAAACCACTCAACGTACTTGCTGTCGTATTGTGGGGCATCATCAAGTCGACAGCGACATCGCAGAAGGGGTTGCCGCCGAGGAGGATAACGTTACTCTCGACCCACGCAGTTGGCACTGCCGCCAACGACGGCACGATTAGCGCTCCGTATGCCGTGGCGGCCGCTGCTTTTGTGGCCAAATTCGTGCTGAGGAGGCGAGTAAACAGCTGCTGCAATCGCAAGAGCGCTGGCGGGACAGGGACATGCAGCACGTCAATCGACCCAAAGGGCCCAATGTGCGCGCGCACCAACCCAAAGCCAAGACTGAACGGCGGTGTCAGCGTCCCGTTCTGGCTCATAACGTCTTCAAGGCTCGAGCCATTCACATAGGCAAAGTGCGGGCTGTCACGCAACAGACTTTTCCCATACAGAGCGACGAGTTGGCACGAACGGCGTCGAGGTCGGCGCCAAACGACCAGTACATCTTGAGCGACGTCTGGTCTTTCCACGCCCACGAACCCACCGTCTGCTTGAGCGTGATCGCATAGCGAAAGCCAAACGCAGTCTCGACGTCGAAGGCATCAAAGAGGCCGAGCCGCTTGTAGTTTTGCCACTGCAGCGTAAACGACGCGATCGCATACGTTGTCCAGAGACGCACTTCGTCTGCAATGCTCGTGCCAGGATCGCGACTGGCCGATCGCCAGGCCAGGCCGGCCGCACTCGCGTTCAAGTCGTACCCAAACGCGATCTCAAAGGCGTTTCCCCACGCGTGTTGAAAGCTCGCCCAGTCGGTGTTGCGGACAAACGCCTCGAGATACACGGCGCCGTTGGTGTTGTAGGCTGCACACCGCGTCTGCCGCGCTGCCGAGTTGGCCATGGCCCAGCGCCGCTCAAAGTCGAGGTAGCAAAACGACGTAAACACATACGGCAGCGTGCTCGGGGGCGTCATCCGTAGACCTGCGATCGCAGCGCCGAGGTCGCTCGCGAGGGTCTCCAAGTAGATGACATTCGTGTAGAGCGACTGCGACATGACCAAGGTCGTCGAACCATTGTAGAGCAAGGCGTCTGCAAACCCGACGTCGTCGAGGCGCCACGTCATGGGCGTCGTCGCATAAAACAGCTGGGTGTTGAACCAATTGCCGAGAAAGGCGTCGATGCCGGTGCTGTTGAAGCCGGGCCAGAAAAAGTCGTTGGCGAGGTTCTGGCCCGAGACGGAGATGAAGACGATGCTGCTAGCGATCGTCAGCACGAGGTAGCCAAAGCCGAGCACGACCATCAGCGTGTTCCATGGGACGCGGTGGCTACAGCAGTGCAAAAGGTAGCCGCGCCATGTGCTGGTACTGACGCACTTTGTCGTTGGTTCGACAATAGGCGCCGAAAGAATTGCAGTCCTGATGGGCCGCGCTCGCACCGAAAGCGACGGTGATCGCATGTGGAGCGTCGAGTTTGTTCGATGCTTCTCGGTGGTGTGTCGTTTCTTCCAGACGACCCAGAGTTTGATGTCAAAGACATAGTCGTTGCCCTTGAATTGAAACGGAATGAGCCCGCACAGTGTGCACATGGCGTGGTCCATACACCAATTGGCCGTGTTCTCGATCGTGAGTATGCGAAGGTTTAAAAAGGCTTCACCGGCCGCAGATATGACCGTTGGTTTGGCTTCGTTCGCCGAGCGACGCAGCGGCGCGATTCGAGCTGCTCGGCGCGACAGATGCAAAAGAAGAATCGCGACGATGATGGACCCTACTGTGATCACTACTAGCATCTGCATGCGATCCCAGCTCCCGATCTCGAGTCGACCGCTTACACACAGGAGCTGGGCATCAAAGTTGACGCTCGCGCAGGTCCGTGCGATGGACGCGGTGGGCCGCACCGGATCCAGGATCGAGTAGAGAAGGATGATGATCCACGTCAAGGCAGCGCTTATCGGTGCGTACGTGGGTGCGCTCTCGGGAAAGATGACGAGGAGGATGTCGACAAGAACGTACGAGAGCCAAGCGACTTCGCTTGTCAAAACCGCCGTCTCAAAGAACGACCGCGTCTCAAAAGCGAGGCCGGTCCAGCCGTAGTGCGGGCTTAGCGCCATGGGCGCAGTGCTTAGTAGGATGATGGCTGTGACGCCTCGCACGAGAAAGACGGGGCGACCGACCCAAACAAAGGCGGCGACGCGGTTGAAGAAAAGAGGTTGCGACCTGCGATTTGAAACTCGATCCACGCACAGCGAAGCAAGACAAATGCAGCGACAAAGCCTAAGACGGCGGTCGAGTAGAGAACAATGTACCAGAGATAGTTGCACGTGCTCCGGGGCACCTCCAGCGCCATCGCATCGAATCCGATCGGGGGTACAGCGGTCGAGATGAGCGTCATCGACCCGACGTCGCCTTCAAACTTGACCACTTCCCGCGTTCCAACCGCCCAGTCGTAGAGGTGCACCCAGCCAAAGACACCCCATTCCGTCAACAATTGATGCAGCAGAAGAGGGTCCGAGCCATTGAGTAGAGCAAACTGCATGACTTCGACTTGAAGGATGGCTACTTCGTTCGACACGACAGCCGAAAGAGGCGTGAGAGCTTCAATGTCCTTCGAGCCCGCGACGAACGACGATGCAGCGATGATGTCGTCCACGCAGTCAGTTGAATGGCCACAGAGCTCGCGCAGTGGTGGCACGATGCTGCTGTCGTTCATGCTAGCGCCCAGCACAGCAAACGCGAGACTGTGCGCTGTGTACGTCAGCGTCATTTGGTCTTGGGAGCCACAAATATCGTAAAAACCAAAGGTTGGCTGGGCGAACGACGTCTGGCTGGCGCCTGTGATGCAGAAAGGGTTGCCACCATAGTACGACAGCGTCGGTTGCAGCCACGACGATGGCGTCGCGAGCACGGTGCGGGGGTTGTGGACGGACTGCGCCGAGCTTTTGGAGATGGCGCGGGCAAACGCTGCGTCAAAGTAGAAGGCGAGCATCGCCAGCGAGTGCGGTAGTGCCACGTAGCGCATGTCGATCGAGAGGAGCGGACCAACGTGCGCATGCAGGAGCGCGACAGGCAGCATCGTCGGGTCGGTGCCCTGGACAGCTTCAAAATTGACTTGGCTAGCGTTCACACGCACCAGCGATACGTCTTGGACACCGGCGGCCCAGAGATCGTTGAAGAGCGCCCAGTAGCATTTATGGCTCGTCCACATATAGTCCCGTGACACTATCGGAAGATTCTTGACGCTAATGCTCTCTTCCATGCCGAGTGCATTCGCAATCACAACGGTCTCGGTCGCGCCGCCTTGCCAGAGGTTGTGCCACTGCAGTGCAAACCGGCGTAAACGATGTGTCGTCCAGTACGCAACTTCGTCGTCAACCGTCGTGTCGGCGCTGGCCGTGGCAGTCACCCACGCAGGGCCGTCGACATCGTCTACTACTGCGTCGAGAATCGCCGTTTGAAAGCCCGAGCCCGCTGTGCTCATCCAGTCGTCCCAGTCGACATTGCGCAGCAGCGCCTCGAGGTACACGGCCGCGTTGTCGCTATCAGCTGCAGCACATCTCGCTTGGCGGCGCAGTGTGTGGGCGAGCTCCCAGCGGCGATCCATGTCAACCCAGCAGTTTTGCGTTGGCAGCCAGAGCGCATAGTCCATCGTGACGGCGCGGAGACCCCGCACGGCTTCGAGGAGCGTCATGGCACCGAGGACGCTCCGAACGTACGAGGGGTTGACGCCGATCTGGTTGACGCTGCTGCTGTAGTCGCTCTTGAAGAAGAGGCCGGGACTGCGCAGATCCAGGTCGGTTGATGCGTTCGTCGCAGAGGTAAGCGCCCGATTGAACGCGTCGGCGACAAACGATTGCATGCCGGTTGTGTTAAAGCCCGCCCAGAAGAGGTCGTTGGTCATGCTCGGGCCCAGGAGGTAGACAAAGTAGACGCTCAAGGCCGAGGTGCCGACGAGGTACACAACGCCGGCCACGCACCACGCGACGTTCAAGAGGGTTCCCGTGTCCTGGTACACCATCAGGGTCGTGGCGCGACGCGCAGAGAACAGGGTAGTGTCTGCGACGAGCGCAGTCATAGGTTGCACCGGTGTCATGGGTCCACGGCTACGCCTCGCGTCGTTCTTTCAAGTGCTGAAACGGCTTTGCGCCTTTTCGGGACGGGCGTAACTTTCCCGCGCCTTTTCAAACAGAGAGATGGACCCAAGGGGCATGGGCAATTTGCAGCAGCGCGCGGAGGGTCACCATCAATCAAGCGCACCGGACGGAGCGTACCAAGAACCTCGTGCCCGTCTAATGCGCTCAATGTGATTGCATATCGCTCCAGTCGGTTCAACTACAACGACGACGACCCTTGCCCCTTGTGCACTCGAACGTCCGCCTCCGTACGTTGATGCAACGACAACAACCAAGCCAAAAACTTACTACGCTCAAGTCGGACCTCGCCACGCAATTGACCGCGAATCATAGGAAGCGTGGTTTTGGACTTGAAACAGCTCGTGCAGTACGGGTAGAGGGTCGTTGGCTGCAGAGGCAGTTCTGCCTGTGACTAGTAATGATCTACTACTCTGTATATTGACGGCCTCCCGGTACCGGTACTAACGTCAAGTCTCGATTGATTAAAGCAAAACCAACTTTGCACCTCTTGTTACCGCGACTGCTTCGTGCGGGATTTACCGTTGGGCTCGTATCCGGCGGGCGAAACTGGGCAAAATGGGTGCAACCGCCTAGGATGACCGGATAAAACAGAGTTATATCCTCGCGTCCGGATAGAATGGGCCAAACCATGAGTATCCCCCAAAAGATACGCGTATCCGAAACGGGTTCAAGGGCAAATGGATCGCATGCGTCACGCAACATAGCTTCATTTTTGCTTTTGCCTCGGCCCCGCAACTCGCAAGCGCAGCAGCATGTCTCTCCTTCGCCAGACTACCGGCCATTACATGCGGTCTTTCGGGCGTCCGTTGCCGCCAAGCAGTCGCCACAACCACCACACCACGCGCACCTTCCACTTGCCCATCGTGGTGACGCCAGTCTCGTCATGCATTGCCTCAACGTCATCGACTCTCCACGATACCGCTGGCAGTGCCTTGCTCGCGACGAAGCAGCAACTGACAGGTCACTACGTGCCTCGCAATCTCATTGGCCTCACGGCGTCGCTCTCTCAGTCTCTCGACGACTTCATCGACAATTTGATGACAATTCCGACACTCCTCTTTGCAAAATACCCGCCCAGCATGAACAGCATCGACGACGACGAAGCCGAGTTGTAGCTATGACGACCAGGCTCGAGCTCGAAAGCGAGCCATCATTATAATGCAAGTCTTGCGTTGCAGCATCGTCATGGGATGCGAGTACATGGTCACAATGCACAGCAGCGAACGACATCTTACGCACCAAGACATGGCTTCGGACGAGCCACACAGGGTCGATTGGAGCCCCACGGGAAAAAAGTGAAGCGGAAGACATGACTTCGGACGAGCCACACAGGATCGATTGGAGCCCAGCACGATGATTAGCCATGAGCCCATGCATCTGCATTTTGCAATGATCGTTTCGCCACCTCAAAGACGACCACCTCGTGCGGTCTGTGAACCTAGCCACTGAAGCTGGGGCTGTCTCTATGGACGCTGGTGCGGTGGTCTCGGGCTTGAACGCTCCACGTCCTGTGCTACGACCCAGTACACTGTAGTTTTGTCTGCCGAGATCCATTCAAACGTCAAGAACATCGTTGTAGTGTTTCGTAGAGTACAATTGTCTTCCTCATCGACAAGCGAAGACACTTGTGCATTTTTTCATTATGGTTTTCCGGTCTGTCCGCTTGCCACGTGTGGCCCGAAAAAGATATGTTTTTGTCCAATCAGCAATTGGCAGAGCATTTTGGGAAAGGCAGGCATGGCGTGCGTCGTCGTCGGGATCGCGACGATGGACGTAGTGCACCGCATTCCGGGCTACCCCGACGGTACTCTGGCTTCTCTCGCTGCGCAATGGACTCATGCTCTCGTAGAGGACACCAAGGTACGGCTAGCTACGCTAGGCGAACGCGCTCATGCCCTCTAGACGCGCATTCGAGCGACGCGCAAAGCTCGGTACGCTCGCCTTCGTCCGGCATGTAGCAGCAACTGATGCTGGACGTAGCGGCGGCAATGGCACCAACGTTCTGGTGACCGACGTCGGTAATCACAGGACACACTCACCATGGCAGCGAGTAGATTGTCAGCGCGCAGCTGGCGTGCTTCGCCTCGTACCACTGGATTGGGAGCCTCGTGGATCCGTCAACCAACGCAGATGCGCGCTTCATCGTTGACGACCTCTCAGCGCACGGCGTGTACACGTCGTCCTGCCAAGTCCATGCGTCTGGCTCGATGCCCACGTCGGTAGGCCGGTCGTCGCCGTCAACATCCTCACTTCCTCTTCGTTTGTGTAGCACATTCTGCTGAGCGATGCAAATGGATCGCGTACGATCTTTCATCACCGCGAGCTGCCCGAAGTGAGCGACGAGCATGTTGCGACGGCGCTCGCAACGCTCGTGGATGTTGCGTGGATCCATTTCGAATGCCGGGAGGCGCAGAGTCAGCTCCGTATGATCCGCATCGCCCGCGCGACGCAGCCACACGCCACCATCTCGCTCGAGGTCGAGGGCCCGCGCCACGCCTGGGACGACGTCCAGCCGTACGCACACGCCATTTCTACCTCTTTGTACGAACCATCGTTCTTCGGTCTAGGCTCCTTTCGCACGCTACCTACGCCTTCATCGCTCAAGGCTACGTCACGTCGCTGGGCTATGCCACCGCACGTGACTTCTTTCATGCGCTGGCAACCACCGCCACGAGGTGTGCATCCGACCATTCCACCGGTTATGACAATGTTGCTGTAGCGAGCTTCGCGCAGTCGTGGTACCGTGGGGATCGGATGGTGCGTTCGTCTGGTGCACGGCGACGAACTGCATGGACCATGTGCCGGTGGATCCGATTCCAAAGCCGCTCGACACAGTCGGGGCCGGCGACACGCTCGTGGGGGCGACCATCTCGGCGCTTGGCGCTGGACTCGCGATTCAAGACGCCGTGGCCATTGGCTGCCGTGTGGCGCGGACCAAGTGCCTCCAGATCGGACTGGAGTTTGAGCCCACGACCCTCGACACGTTCAGAGACGACGTAGTACGTTCGCTGCGCCGTAGTACTATGTAATGGATTGCGCGAGGTTATACACACGGAGCATTATCGTCGTTCTCCATGTGGTCGGCATGCAGCATCTCGACTAGAACGTCAATGAACTCGTCGCTTCGACTGTTGCTCGGCTGCATGAGCCCGACGGGCCACACGTGCAAATTGAGCGCGTGGACTTTGTGGATGCCGCGCATGTCGACCTGGAGGTGCATACGTCGCCATGGCAGCGAGAGGAGGTTGCTCAGCATGCCTTCGGAGATCGCTACCTCGTGCCTACAATAGCTCAAAATAGCCCAACAAAGAACCTCGACGGGGGTACCCTGCGTCGCACGGCTGGCCGTCCGACGTCATCGAGAGCTCAGGTCGCGCCGTCGGCAGAGCGGGAAATGTAGCACTGAGCTTGGCACCAAACGCCGACGTGGCTGCAAACCCATCGTGCAGCATCGTCCACTGCCAGACGCTCGACGAGTCCTTTGACGGCGGCAACTCGGGCAACGGGTTTGGGTTCATCGAGGCAGACGCATATGGCACGAGTTGGTCGCCTTCAATGACGGCGACCGCGGTCCGATACTTGAACCGTGCCAGCGCTTGCATGTACATGGACTCTAATGGCGTCGCATGAGCTGGCGTTGTCACTATTTGTAGCCTACGAGGAGCGCTCATGCTCTCCAAGAACGGCGCTACGGGGTTGTCTACAGGTAGTAGTACACTTGGATCGCGTTGCAAGACGACGAAACACAGACCTTCAAAGAGCAGCTCGTGGCCCGTCTTGCCGTAAATGAGCGTCATGGACAGGACCTGGTGCACCGCAAACTTCCACATGTTCTACACGCATGGGCTCCCTACTCTCTTGTCGTGCGTCGTCGTAGTAGTTGATACCTTGGAGGGCGACCCGCCGGCGCAGCGCGAGCCCAAGTGCGGCGAACACAATGAGACGTACGACGTACACGCAATCTTTTGCTTGGCAAAGATATCTTGGAGGTACACGAGGCTCTGGCGCGTAATGAGCCCGCCAAGCGAGTGCCCCACGAAGCTAATGCGATGGCCACGCGGTGACGATTGGTACGTCAAGAGCAGGTCCGAGATTTCGGCCGCCAAGTTGGACCCGCACTTCTCGAGACCGCGCTGGGTCTTGCCTTTGTTCGATCGGCTCTGCAGAAGGAGCATCTCGTCGTCAGCAAACGTCGACCGGAGCTTCTTGGCGATGGCTGCGAGATCGGTCGGCGACCCGTACACGCCGTGCACGAGGACAAAGATGTGGCGAGGCAGCACTGGCTTCGCGGTACTCGCCGGGACCTCGGACGCGATCGGGTTGGTCGCTTGAAGCGAGTGCAGCCGGCGCTGCGTCTCAGAGACGCGCGCCTTGAGGAGGTTGGCGCGGCCGCGCCAGAGTGCGTGCATGGTGCTGTGCAGTAGCGAGCTGTTGGCCTCTGCTTGGCTCTACGACGACCATGATGCCAGCGCCATGAGGCCATGCGCGCGTACGAGGTGGATGGTCAAGAGCGCGAGGTGGTCCTGGAGCGCGTCGAGGTCCATGCGGCGACACCGGCGATCTTTTCCACTAAAACAACCCGTGAGGTTAAACCCACCCAACTTAACTTGCTGCGACAAGGCAGCGACGCCAATGAATCGACGAGGCGCCGCGGTACCGGCAAGCGACGTACTGGCTGCGTACTCTTGTAGCTCGCTATACCATGCGACTCGTGCGAGAATGCTTTGTTACCGCAATCGGCCAAGGGACGAGCCATCGTAGTATTGCGCCAAGTGGCGTGGGTTTAGCCACTGAATCTGGGGTTTCGCCCGACTTCTTCACCGAGCATATCATCCGGCTCTAAAACCACGCACCTCAACTGCAAGAACGACCAGGCATCGACCGCTCGGACGCAGCATACAGAGCAAGGTACTTGCCTGCATCACAGCCATGGATTCTATCTCGATGGACGATAGAGATGCATTGGCGATAGACGAATGCGTCGACGGTACCGCCGGATACATTACGGTAAAGAGGCGTGATTTTAAACTATGGAAATAATAGTGAAAGCAAGAGAGTGCATTTTGCCGAGACAGCAGCATGAGCCAACTTGCCGAGGATGACGACGTCGTGGTCGTTGGCGCCCGTCCTGCACCGCCGTCCGACGATGACGACATCCTTGTCACAGATGCCGCTGGCAACCCGATCGTGATCATGCGGCCGATCGTAGCCTCGAGCGGTCGGCGAAATCGTGGGCGACGACGGCCGCCTCCACCGCCCGCCGTGGCCAACGCCGACGTGATTGAGCTCCTCTCCGACAATGAAGACGCCAACCCGCGCATTGTACTCGATCCACAAGCACAAGCTCGCGCCAACGCGTTAGAGGAGAACCGGAAGCGCGAGCGCATCGTCGAGACCGCCAAGGCCAAGATGCGATGTCCCTTATGTCTCGACCCGTACGAGGAAATGGCATCGACGACCTGCGGGCACGTCTACTGCAAAGAGTGCATCACATTGGTCGTCGCCAAGATCCACAAGTGTCCTCTCTGCCAACGCAAGCTCGCCACACGAGACATCCATGCCATCTTTGTCTAACGGCACGCGAAATAGCATGCGCATCGCGTTTGTCACAATACCTCTAGCGTCTCGTGCATCCTATTTACGCTTGAAGACGCCTCTACATCGCTGCCGGCTCCATCCTTGCCAACATCGCCGCGATATGACTATCGTCGATCGCAAGGAACTTTATCAACATCAACGATGCCTCCAACTTCAACCTCGTGGAGCGACCATCCAGACAAGAATTGCTAGGTGCATTGGCCGCTCCGATGTGCTCGCCATGCCATGGTGCAGCGCTGACAACCGCGCGCGACCCTTTTGCGTTGTGCCACCTTGCGAGGTCGCTTGTGGGTTTCTATGTCGCCGCGCCTCGCCCAAGATGCCGCCCGTGTGCCAATACCCAACTCCCGCATGAGGCACTTGCGACAACATGGAAGCGCTGAGGCCGTGGCCATACCTTCGCAGCGCCATGGCGAAGGGCTCGCCTCGGCGCGAGGGCGTCGGTGCGACGCAGTACCCTGGTGCTGGGCTTGGTCGTGGCGCCTCTGCAGCCTGGCTAGGCGTCGGGAGATCTTCGATAAAAATACAAAGCGCGCTGTCAATAAAAAACGCCATCTGGCAGGCCGACTCTATGGGCGTCTCGGAATTTAATTGCGACGGTGTCAAATAAATTCGGGTTCGTGTTCGAATTCTGGCAACGGCCGCCCGAGACCGACGCTGAGCTTTCTGCAGTGAGCCATTTCATGGACCATCGACACCAAGGGCTCCTCTTGCGCTGGCAGCAGAACCGCCTCCAGATCCGGTACCACAGCCTTCAGATGCGTCGCTACATGCTTCAGCGCCAGGACGCGCGCGACCCGAACGAGATGCGGCTCATGCTCGACGACTACCTGCGCGACCACGGTCGCATGCAGCGCCTCGCCCGCCTCGAGCTGCGCGAGATGCGCGCCAACCAATTCCATCCGATGGTGGCCCGCCGCCAGCACCCGTTTGTAAACGAGGTGCTCGACGACATTAACATGAACACGGACGACGACGTCGTCGTCGTCGCACCACCGTCCGTGGCGCGGCGCCGGGCCGTCTCGCTCGATGTCAACATGCACAAACAAATCAACGTGCCTCGCATGACATTGGACGCGATACAGATCAAGGGACTCCGCCACGAGAGCTACGAAGCGCCACCGACGGCGTACCAGCCCCACGGCAACGAAGAGCCGCTCGTGTTGCAGCGCCGTTTCGTCCAGGATCGCATTGCCGTCCTGTCGCGCATGAAGACGCAGCTCACATCCATCCCTGGTGACGAGCGCTGGGCGACGCAGCTCGTGCTCAACCGCCACAGCATCGACCAGCCCGTCCCGATGCAAGGCGGGCTCACAGCGCTCCATGGCCTCGAAGAGCTCGTCTTGGCCTTCCTCGACGGACCGAGTCTGCTCAAGTGCACGCTCACGTGTGTGCGTTGGAGTCGCCTCTGCCGTCAAGACACCCTCTGGGAGAAGCTCCTCGTGTCACCGAACGAAGGCTACCCGCTGCGCACGCTCATGTCGTGCCCTCGCCCAACCCCGGCCATCCAAGTGTACATGCTCTTCTACACGAGCGGTCTCGCCGCAGGGCCCGCGTTTGTGCAGCAAGAGTTTATTCCTGACGAAGCGAACGAGGCGATACCGACCTCGTCGCGCCACCGCGACCTCTCGACGCTGCTCGAGTCGACGCCGATCGGCAGCGTCCACGTGTCGCGTCTCTTGTCGACCAAGAAGAACTGGTCGAACGCGCTCTTGTTTCCGACCGAGACGGCGCACCTGCATGGCGCGTCGTGCACAACGCTCAAGGCGTGGCTCGGCAAGCACTCGCCGCTGCCGCCCGAGACGCTCCGGTCGTTTTGCTTTCAGCTGCTCCACGGCTGCATTGCGCTGGACGTGGCCGGTATTGCGCACACGGACCTCTCGCTCAAGCACGTGCTCGTCTTCTCGAGCGATAGCGACGCGGTGCCGCTACTGCGTATTGACGGCCACGGCGCGTGGGAGCGCCAGAGCAGCACCTATGACCACGAGAGTGCGGTCTGGAGCTTGATCTTTACGACTCAAAACCGGGAGGAGAGTCGTTGGAAGAACCTGCTCTGCAGCTACCTCTACTTGATCCTGGACGTGTGCCTCGAAGGGCGGCTCGCGAATTTGCGCCAGCAGTCGCTGCTCCACTGCCTCGCGATGGACCGGCACAGCATGCCGCGCGACTTTCGCAGCCTCGCCGAGCACGGCGCGTATCTCTTGTACCACAACCTGCCCATGGACACGCTGCTCCACCACCCGTACTTGACGCAGACGCCATGGGACGCGGTCGACTGGCTCCGCGAGCTCCACCCACCGCGTGACCAGTCGACGTACCTCGAGAACATCCTAGCGCTCTACGCGACACCGCTGCCACCGTCCACGTCGACGTCGCCGGCGCGCCCGATCGCTGTGCCCGTCTCGGATGTGGGCCCGCGCTGCCTCCGCATGGCAGTCGGGGAGGCCGGGCTGCTTGCGAACCGGTTTACGTGCATCCGTGCACCGGCCGACGCGACGTCGTACTGGATGCAAGCGTTGGCGTCGAGCCAGGTATTCCTTTTCTCGTCCCACTGGTAGATGGCTTGACGGGACTGTTGTAGAGTGCGACGCTGGTGCGGCTCGACCTCTCGGCGCTGGAGCTCTCTAGCTCGACAATTCTCCAAGGCTTGAGCTTGCTCCCGCACATTACGGACCTCAAGCTGCCCAAGGCGATGCTTCGGGAAAGCAACATTGAGCGCTTTGTGGTTGCGTTCGCCAACAGCCTCCTCCCGGCGCTCTCGACGGTCGAAGACGCGTTCTTGGTCGCCGTGCGCCGCATGGAAGAGTCGTACGTCAAGCAGCTCGAGATGGTCGACTTTCTCTTGCAGCCAACGCGCGCCGTGTAGGGCTTTTCTCGGCTCTATTTAAGTGTTTTTCTTCTTGTATTCTCAAAAACCATGCGACTCAAGACAACAACTCGTGTTGACTCTACTCCATTTGCGTCGACTTTTTGCGTGGCGACGGCGCGCCGCGGCGGGTAAAGAGATCCAACATGGGGATTTCTTCGAGTTCCCGTCGGGAGCAGAGATACTCGCCTAGGAAACCATGCATGCAGCATGCGGTCCAGGAAGGAGGAGGTACCGAGGATGACGGTGATGGCGAGCGCGACGCCATGGACGATCCACCAGCTCCACGTCGACGGAAAGCCCTAGAAGCGTGCTTCAGACACGACACGCGAGCGCATGTGCGTAGTAGCAATACCTTGTACAAGCAGCACACGAGAAGGTCGAGCACATAGAGCGTGACGCCAAAGTCCAAGCACTTTTTCGCCCGCTCGACAAAGTAACAGAGCAGGACGGCGTTCACGAGGCCGCTCGTAATGTGTGCAAACGACGTCTTGATGCCGTCAATGCTCTCGAGCGCATGGAGGTCGTACGAGAAGAACTGGTCGAGCGAGAGGTGGGCCCCGTGGCAGAGCCCGAGAAGGACGCCGAGGCCGATGTAATGCGCGCACTAGAGCGTGCCTATGATGGGCCTCCGTCGGCCACGGTGGTCGTACCTGCATGCAGACGATCTGCAGCCCGATGAGCTTCGGGTCCCATTGCCCCCGGCCATAGAAGCGGGGCATCGCGTCGGAAACAAAAATGCCAAGCCGCGGTATCCGGATGATGTCCGGAAACCGTCACGCTTAAATTAAACTATGACGTGGCACGCGGACGTCGCTCTCACGGCATAATTATGATCTCGAAACGACGTCTCTATTAACGAATTAATGATGAACAAGGATGTCTACAACGACGACGACGACAAGAATGTGTTGCAATGCATGGCATGCAACGATGGCACAAGGGCAGGATAATAGAATAATAGACTAGGAGGAGTTAAATACGAGGTTGCGCTTATTCGACAGTGTCGTGCAAGAGGACGTCCTCGAGCAGCGCATCCATCGTCGAGAGTCGGCGCTCCTCAACAACCTCATCCGCCTCGGCGTCCATGATCTCGTCAAGGACTTCGTCGGCCATGGCGTCGTCTTGACGCTCATGCACGAGCGCGTCGGCTGCGGCCTCCATCGCAGCTTCGTCGTCATCGTCCATGACGGCACCCGGAAGCGTCGGCACGTCGTCGGGAGCGCTGTGCTTAGGCGAAGTGGCGTCGTCGGCTTCCGTTGGCAGTGCAAAGCGACATGTCGGGCATACGTTGTGCTCTTGGAGCCACGGGAGGCCGCACGGCGTGTGGAACGTGTGGCGACACGGCAGCTGCACGACGCAGTCGGCGGCCTTGAAGTCCGAGAGGCAGATGGGGCAGTCGGTGTTCGTCGCGCTGCCCGACGCTTCGACGGCCGACCACCACTGCTCTTTGAGTTCGCTCAAGAAGCGCTTGCTCGTCTTGGGCGGGCCTGGCTGCGGCGTTTGCATGGTCGCATTGATGAAAAGATCATCCAGGAGACTCGAGAGCCCGAGCTCCGAGCCGCCGAGAACCGACGAGAGCGCGTGCTGCAGCATCGAATTCAGTAGCGCTTCGTGGCTCGACGGCTCGCGAAAGTGCACAAAGACAAGCGCGGGACTCGACAGCGAGAGTCGCGTCGGCATCGGGCGGGGCACCTGATAGGCAGCGTCCGTATTCATGTCAAGCTAACGACGTGGCAAGTTGGGATATGACGACGGCGATCAGTGTATCGACGCACGCCAGCTGCTCGGTAGCAACGTCCGTTCGACGGGTGCACTTTCTTGCGATTGGCGCGTTTTTTTTCGGGTCCGAAGGTTCGAGCATCTTCTTATCCGAAGGTCCAAGCTGACTGGTTCGCACCACCTCTGAGGTCTTTGAGGTTCGACTCGGCTCCATAGGTACTCAAGTCATAACTCTATCAGCACTGTAACGCGGTGTGGACTGGAGCCTGACGGGACCGTGCGCTCGTGTTCCGTAGCGGGCGGTGGAAGTGCGACGGCACGGCGGCGGCTGCTTGATGGCTGATGACGCAGGCTACTCGACTGCGTGACATCTACGATGGATGTTGGCTCGACACGCGAGTGTGGCAGAGAACAGGGTGGTCGTTGCGAGGAAGTGCGAGGAAGTCAGCGTAAAAAGGAGTGTTGTTATTGAAGTGAATCATTACATTCAATTGTAAAGATATGGTGGAGTGTAGGTGCAGAACTCGGACCATCCGTCGCTGCACGCGACGAAGACAGGCACATCCCACGCTCTGGAACCTTCGATCGTGCGTGGTCCTTGCCACAGCTCGGGAAAGGATGGAAATGGAGGACCTTTGAAGAAGATCAGCAATGCTACGCTTCGAGACCAACACGACATCAATGTGCAACAACCTGCGTTCGGTGTTCTTATGCAAAATGAGCTAGCTACCTACGTATCGCGCTCACGCCTCGTCGGTGCGGTGAACAGTCATCTAGCCGCCTTCGTGGACGAGCTCAAAGAAGATGCCGTCGCCCGCAGCCACGAGCGCCTGCGGCGTCCCGCTCTGCGCCAACGCGCCCTGGTCAAACACGAGGATCCGGTCGCAGTCCAAGACCGTGTCCAAGCGGTGCGCGATCGTGAGCACCGTCGAGGTCGCAAACTCGGTCCGGATCACGCGCTGCAGCACCTTGTCCGTCGCGTGGTCGATGGCCGCCGTCGCTTCGTCCAGCACGACGACCTTGGCTTGCCGAAGGAGGGCGCGGGCCATGCACAGCATTTGGCGCTCGCCGACGCTAAAGTTCTCGCCGTTCTCGTCCACGGGGCCGAGGAGCTTTTCGTCGTGCTGCGAGACGCGG